TAATTATTACCTTTGAAGAGTTAAGAATACTTTCAGCAGAGTTTATAAAGGAATGAAAAAGATGAACTTGCTTTTTGTCATGCTTAAGTTTTTTAAACATATATTGTGAGGCCTGTTGTATGAAATATGTAAAATGGAAATAAGAGAGTGAGTCTTACCAATACACTTTCTTCATCAAATGTTCATATAATGGCCACTTTCTTCCAATCAAAGTTATCCAGTAGCTTACTTATAACAACATTAAAATACTCATCATTTGGAATTGTAGTGTGAAAATAAGGATATTCTTTATTGTTGTCAAGTAGTACACTAGTCACTGAATAAGAAATCTAAAGTGTAAAAGTATACAATTATATTATTTTTGATAACTGTTCAATACCTGTATTGTACTCAAATAATGTCCAAAAATATAAGCAAACATTTTAGCACTTTCAGGATTGTATGGTCCAATAGAGTACATTATCAATGATCGTACACCATCAATTTTCGGACACTTGTTTTAGGAAAACTATACATTGCCATCTCATGAAACTGCAAAGTATTATAGCAATAGTTATCCTTTATTTGCGTGACAAAACTTGTAGCTCTAGCAAGAGTGCATAGAAATTTATAAGCTCTCAAAGCGTGGTGTCCGACAATACCAATGATCGGCCAAAATTCTCAATCTTCGGACTGTCATTTCTGAACGGAAGCAAAGGATAGTTTTAGAAGGTCACTATGATAACTTTGTAGGCCTGTCTTTAAACTAACTATCACCATCCGGATCTTTTTGATAGCTGTCTTTTTGACAGAGATAATGGCCACTTAAAATGTGTCACCTGATCCCTCAATATACGGACAAATTTTACAAAAATATACAAAACTGATGATTTTACGGAGTTTTACTACTAAAATTCATAATTTTTGTATATTTTTGTAAAATTTGTCCGTATATTGAGGGATCAGGTGACACATTTTAAGTGGCCATTATCTCTGTCAAAAAGACAGCTATCAAAAAGATCCGGATGGTGATAGTTAGTTTAAAGACAGGCCTACAAAGTTATCATAGTGACCTTCTAAAACTATCCTTTGCTTCCGTTCAGAAATGACAGTCCGAAGATTGAGAATTTTGGCCGATCATTGGTATTGTCGGACACCACGCTTTGAGAGCTTATAAATTTCTATGCACTCTTGCTAGAGCTACAAGTTTTGTCACGCAAATAAAGGATAACTATTGCTATAATACTTTGCAGTTTCATGAGATGGCAATGTATAGTTTTCCTAAAACAAGTGTCCGAAAATTGATGGTGTACGATCATTGATAATGTACTCTAACACCATGAATAGGTAGATTGTTGTGCTTCTCATATAAAAACTCAATTGACTCAGTTGGATTTTATAATTGAGGAACATATGAATGGAGTACTGATGATAATGGTACTAAATCAATGTTGATTATATATAGTGACAAAGTTTTACCTGCACTGGATCCTCAACAGTAATGGGGAGCATTTCTATTTCAAAGCATCTCAATATGTTGGTGTCTTGGTTGATTTCTGCTATAGCTCTTTCCACTGCAGTGAGGGTTAGCCTATCACAGTCTCCTACCTCATCCCATTGGTTGAGACAGGGAAAGAATCCAACGAAATGAAGAGGATATCTTGTGTTTATGCTACAGTTAAGGTAGGAGCTCTGGGTCCTTTCCACATTCAAAAAGAGAAGGAGAAGCAGTTGCCTAAACATTGTTGCAGACACAATAACATGTACCCACGTGCTAACACGTGTGCAAGTATGCAGCTC